GCTTTTCCAACGATAAAACAGCTGAGTACATGCCAGAAAGCCAGCGTGACCAAGTTTGTCCTGGAGATTTAATGGCACATGTTTTCTCCTTCAGAGCAAGAAACGATGCTCAATATAAGGACCAGAATTCCCCCAGAGTGAACCACATCCACTCCACCAACAAGGTCCTGAGCTCCTCTAATGACAATGGTCAAACCCACACTGGGGAAGCTAGTCATGAATGAGCTCCTCCAGGAGAACCAACGGCTCAAACAGCAACACTTAGAGAAACTCACAACGCCTCACTTTCTTCTCCATGTTTCTATTTATGCTGGCAACTTTCCTCAGGTGAAACATCTACACTCAGCACTGTGCTGATTTAATTCAGCTGGTGTTAAGTTGACCACCAGTTTTAATCCATAGCAGGGGACATCACAATTCCTGACTTGAAGTTATACTATAAGCTCCTGTAATAAAAAGTGTCCTACTGAAAAAAAAAAAAAATCAAAACCAGACCTGAAGATCAGTGTAACAGATTAGAAATACAGAAACAACTCCAGACACACTAAGCCACCTTATCTTTGACAAAGGCGCCAAATACACTGGGCAAATGACAGCCTCTTTAATAAATGGTGCTAGAAAAACTGGTTCTACACATACTGAAGATTAAAACTGGACTCATATCTTTCACTAAGCTAAGCTAAAATCAGAATGGCTCAAACATCTTAATATTAAAAACATTAAATCTTCTGGGAGATAGAGTAGGTAAAACTCTTGAAGACGTTGGTGTAGAAAAGGACTTTATAAAAAAAAACCCTGATTGTACAGCAACTGTCACAAAGAATCAACTGGGATCTCATCCTACTGAAAAGCTTTCACACAGCAAGAGAAACCATCAACAGAGCACAGAGACATCCACAATGTGGAAGAAAATATTTGCCAGCTGTGCCTCAGACTAAGGATTACTATCAAGAACATATAAAGAACTAAAAAGAAAAAAAGAAAGACAGAAGTCCTTCCAGGCTTAAAGACACAACCAAAAGATGGGGCATCTGAGATTAATACATACTTCTCAGATGAAGAAATGCAAACAGCATATCAATATGGGAAATAATGTTCAACATCACTGGCCATTTGAAAGATGTAAATTAAAACAACACTGAGATTCCACCTCATCATGGAAAGAATGGCTATTATCAAGAAATCAACCAATAACACATGCTGGCAGTGCCATTAGGAAAAGGGAACCCTTCTTCACTGTTGGTGGGAGTACAGACTGGTACAACTACCGTGGAAATCAGTGTGGAGATTCCTCAAAAAACTAGGATTGGAGGTCTCATTTGATCCTGCGATTCCCCTTCTGGATATCTTCCTAGAAGAATTAAAACATCATACCACAGTGATATATGTGCACCCATGTTTATAACTGCACAATTTGTAATAGGCAGATCCTGTAAACCACCTAAATGCCCACTGACTGAGGGACAGATAAAAAGATGTGGTACTTTTATACAGTGGAGCGCTACTCAGCCGTAAAGGATAAACTGGAGACTTTTATAGGTAAATGGATGCAACTTGAGACCACAGTCATAAATGAAATGTCAGACACACATGTGTAAAGATCATATTGCCTCACTAGTGTGAGAAGTGGAGACAACATATGTGTGTGTATATATATACATATACATAAAAAGGTAGTTAAGATAGTTGTACACTGATTTCTCTGAGGTCATTGAAGAGAAAGGTTTGTGCTGGTATTGTTCAGACAATGGAATGCAGATGTCTTGTGCTCTGGGTGAATAATTTGGGGATAGCAATGCACAATATATGTACCATTGTTGCCCTGATTGATGTGTTTTGAATTTTTTCCTTTTTAAAATACAATGGATTAAAAAAAAACTATTGTGAAAAAAATAAATGAGCAAAATTAAATGAGATTTTGTTCTTATACTAACACTATGACCTGTGGTTTGGTTTCTGCAAGCATTCTCTGAACAACTGCCAGGATATTCAAGACTTTTAACAATGTGGTCCTAGAACTCTGCCGGGGTCAAAGTCTAGCATCCCGTGACCCAACATTCAAACAAAAGCACAAATTACCGAATTGAAATACTCTGTGCCAAAGGTAAAAGAAGAATGTGAGCTCTTCAGCTCCCGTGAGGGCAGGCTGCAGTGAAAGGCACATACTCAGCCTGGCTCTCCACAAGGATGCATACAATGGAGAATCTGCCCAAGAGAATATGGTGGTGACAGGGAGGGGAGGGTAATCCTGTGCTATGAGCAAGGGCCAGCGTCATTCACACTGACACAAGAAGGAGGAGGGAGTGGGCGAGTGGCATCAGTGGCTAGCGAAGGGGAAAGAGAATGGTGTAGTTTCAGAGGAAGGGGAAGGTGACCATCACAAAATCCTGGGAAGGAGGAGAACCTGGACCACGGGGATCGGAGAGGAGATACTTCATAGTGCTCCCAAGTGAACACAGGAGCTGGAGAGATATTTGTTAATGACAAATTGGAAACCTAACACATGCTATTCAGACGCAAGGGACTGAAGTCTGCCAGCAGAAGGGAAGTAGTATGTCCCCACACAGGGTGACACTTCACAAGTCCTTTTGATTTTTCTAATTTGCTTTCATTAAGGCATCTCTTCAGGCAGTAACAGGTTCTGGGTTAAATCCCCACCACCACAAACAGAGATACAGGGAAAAAATACCCAGCTGAACAACTTAAAATGTTTATTTTAAATTATCAAAAGCAATTTTATAAGGAATTTTTTAACACAAGTGTGAAAAAACGGTATGTATTAGGAGAAAACTCAAGTTCCTACTGAGCTGTCATTTATTTCTTTTTTTAAAAAAAACAGCAGAAGCACAAGTTCCTGAGTTTGATTCCTGGTACCAAAAATAAATACATTAACAAAAATTTTTAAAAAGAGCAGACTCTTCCTTATTTACACTCACTGCAGGGTGAGCTATTACCTACCCCTCAGGACTGGGAACTAAACCCAGGGGTGCGTATTAGAGCTTCATCCTCACGTCTTTTTATTTATTATTTTTCTGAGACAAGTTTTCACTAGGCTGCCCAGCCTGGCCTGGAATTTGCACCCTCCTTCCTCATTCTCTGGTCTGGATGTGCTCTGGAATAGCTAGGACTCCAGTGTGTGTCACTGTGCCCAACCAGGGTGAGATAATTAAGTCACTTGCCCACAGGGTTTGGTTTCCAGGATATCATAAAGCTAGGAAAAGGGCCAGGGTAATGAATACAAATCTGTCCCTGGAAAGATGTCCTTCCTGTCACAAAATAATAAAATCATCTTCTGACTTAAAAGTATGTTTTCTGTTTACCTCGCTTGACTATTTCCTGATACGTGGATACAATGCCTACATTTGGGGAAATGTCCTAGGCTTAGAAAAGGAGAGGTAAGGAGAGAAGAGGGAGAGGGTATGAGAGGGAGATGGAAGCTAGCGAAGAAAGAAGGGAAAGAGGAAGAAGGAAGGAGAAAGGTTTGTTTCCTTGAAAGGAGTCTAAAGCTTGGTGGAACGTGCCCGTAATCCCAGAACTCTGGGAGACTGAGGAAGGAGGGTTGCAGTTTAGAGCCCAGGTTGGGCTATTTGTTGATTTAGCAATAAAATAAAAATACAATTAAAAATGCAAAAGGTGTGGAGATGTATGTAGTTCAGTGAGAAGACCCTGGGCTCACAAAGTGGTATTAGCACTTGCGGTGATGTCCTAGGTTCAGTGCTTGAGGTGATAATTGACATTTTAGGAATGAATGGAAATTTGCCGGGGTGGGAGGGGGGGAGATAAAGAGAAAGAGAGAGAGAACTGCACTGTCTAGTTAACTGGTTTAGCACAGCTCTGGGTGTCTGAATGAGACTCACTGGAGAGGGCAGGTCCACCCTAGGTGGAGACATACCCCCCAACCAACTGGCTTGCAGCCTGGACAGAATAAAAAAAGGAAAGGAGATGCAAGGTTCTCCTGTCTCTTTAGAGTTCTTCTCCACAGCCTTTGGACATCTGCCTCCTGATAGGACTGTGTGGGATTCTACAGTGAGCCCCAGGCCTTCGACGTTCGATTGGATCCTTGGGATCTCCGGCATACAGAGGACGTTTTTTGCATTCTTCCACACCTGACTCTGCAGGTGTACGCCTATCTTGTAAATCCTTACACATGCAGCAGCATTCTTTGTTCCTTTGGTGAATACAGAAGTGAGCATTCCAGGAGGGAAAAATTGTCACAACCTGAAACCCCTGTTTAGGCAGACAGCTTCTGTTCTTGAAAAAGCGGGACCTGTCAATGCTAAACTTCTTCAAAGTAGTGGGGGTCTGATATGTTTGACTCAGTAGACTATAGGATGTGAGCATTCCCCATCAGGTTACCATCACAGGTGCAGGTTTGCAAAACTAAACTAGAAGCTGAGAATCTGGGCGTGGTGGTGCAGGCCTATAATCCCAGCACTCCGGAGGCGGAAGCAGGTTGACCGCGGATTCCAGGCCAGCCTGGGCTACATAGTGAGGTGCAGTGTCAAAAAACAAACGAACAAACAAAAAATGAAACATCTCCAGGGCTTTCGTGTTTAGGGTTTAAACAATTATCCTCAAACCCTAGCAGGTGTTAAGTTGTCCTACATGTGTTACTCAACTTGTTGAAAGTTAGTAATTTATGGCGCTCTGATGTTTCCAGAGAAAACCGAACCATTAATGGCAGGCAAGGCTGAGGCCAAGGGAGAAGCTCAGGCCTCTGCTTGCTGGAGTGCCACTGGCGTCCTGGAGGTGATCACCAACCTGAACCTTCCCACACTCCGACCCTGTGTTCCTCTTTCCCTCGTCTTTCTCGTTCTCTCTCTTCGCCCCTTCTCCCAGGTTCCTAGGTCTCCGGTCTTACTAGCTGACCACTAACCGGCAGGTCCACCTCTAGCTGCAAGGCCAGCTCCACTTCCGGCTCTGGTGGCTCGAGCCTGCGCAGTTCGCGCGGCAGGGCGGAGGGCGGGACGATTGGGGCGAGGGGCGGGGCGGTAGCGGGCGGGGCGGCCGCGCAGGCGCACTGGGCTGTCGGCGGCGCGCTGCAGCTATGGAGCAGACCCCTCCAGACCCCGAGAGGCAGGTGCAGCCAGCGTCCCTGGAGCCGCTGAGCGGCCCCGATGACGACCTGGAAGCTGCAGTCAGTAAGGAAGCCGACGGGGCCCAGCGAGAAGGCTCTGGGACGGACACGGTGAGGAGGAGAAGGGGCGGCATAGAGAGGGGCCTGCGTCGGGGCCTACCGCGGAGGCCGGTGGGCACGGGTGGGAGGCCGGGCCACAGGTGCGGGGTCCGAGTGGAAGGAAGGCGCTAGGGAAAGGAGTCCTGAGGGCTGCGCGAGGGCGCTGCCAGGGCGGAGGAGGGGACGCACGGTGCGGCCCTGGGGGCCGGGTCCTTAGGGTGAGGTTGGGCCGGGGCGGCGTCCGAGGAGGTCGCGTCTCCTGCGGGGCCGGCCCGGAAGGTCGGTCCTGTGTCAGGCTCTTATTGAGGGGCACTTTGCCGTCGATGGGTGGGCAGCGGTGTGGGAGGAGGAAGAATCGGGACTGGGGCAAGTCTGGGGCAGGGAGTGCAGCTGGCCTAGTGGGGCTTCCTGCAATTTCCCACTGGGAAATTGAATAAAGTGTCAGTTTCAAGAAAATGCATAAGCAGAGAAATATTTTTAAATCTCACTGGGTTGTGATTTCTTCATCTGGGGTAAGTGCCTTATATCTTAATGGAGATTTCTCTGTGTCCCCTGTGTTTCCTTTGGAAGCCCTTTTGATTATTAGTAGTGTTCACTTTGCTTGGGGAAAAGGAGGGAAATGTGTCACATGTGTGTAAGTGGTTTCGTTCCAGAGTGTAAAATGTGTGGATCAGGTTAAATGGGAGCATTTAAGAAAGTCAGTCTCGCAGTGTGTGTGGCTCTTCCAGTCAATTTTGCTTCTTTCTTTTCTGGGACAGATGTTAGTGCTAACATTAAACTGCCACTCCTTAATGGAAAAGCTGAAGTTGTTTTTTGAATATAACTGAAAAGATTCTAAGTGTAGAGACCAGCTAAGGAGAGACTTACAAAGCACAGGAGTTGAAGGTTTGCCTGCTTAAGAAAATGTCAACATATAAAAGGTAGCATAAAAACCATTGGAAGATGTGCTTTTAAGGTTTTTTTTTTAAGTTAAAAGCTTTATTTTTTAAGTATTTGGAACAGTTTTAGATTGACAGCAAAATGTCAAGAAAGATGCAGAGATTTCCTGTATATGCTGCCCCATCGCACGTGTGCTGTATTCCCAGCATCTCCCACTTGAGTGGTAGAGATTACAGTGGATGAGCCTGCATTGATGTGATCAGCACTCCAGGTCTGTAGTTTACATCAGGGTTCACTCATGGTGCTGAGCATTTTATGGGCTTGGAAAATTATGTAATAATACATAACCTGCCATTATAGTATTATATGTTCTATTTTCAGTCCTAAAAATACCCTGTGGTCTTCCTGCTCATCTTCTTTTCCCTCAGCCCCTTACTACCATTGATCTTTTCACAATTTGCATAGTTTTGCTTTTTCCATGATGTTATACAGTTGTAATCATTCAGTGTGCACTTAGTAACATAATGTTAAGATTCCTCTGTGCCTTTTCATAGTTCGATAGTCCATTTCTTTTTGTAATGAACAATACTCCCTTGTCTAAATGTACCACAGTTTAGCCAAGTTTTGGCCCTTGTGGGTAATACTTCTATAAACATACATGTAGAGCTTGTTACAGGGATGTAAGTTTTCAGTTCCTTTAAGTAAATGTCAAGGAGTGTAATTGCTGGATCACATGGCAGGATTGGCACTTGTATCCAGGGCCTCACATATGGCAGGCAAGTACTCTACCACTACAGCTCAGTCACTATCTCCTACTATTTTCCTGAAACAGGATTTCTCTGAGTTGCCCAGGTTGGCCACAAAGTCACCATCCTCTTGCTTCAGCTTTCCAAGAAGCTTGAATACAGGCCCAGCAAAAGCAGATATATACATATGTGTGTATTGATACATATATATGCATAAATATTTTACTTTACAAAAATTTTTTTCATATCTAAAAGATTATTTACTTGACAAAAATACAGAGTGATATTATTGTGAATGAAGAGAGAACCTTGGTTAATGATGTCTAAAGCTTGTAGACTGTATTTATTTAATAACTTGCAAGGATCCTCCTGCCCCAGCATCCCAAGTGCTGAGATTATAGGCATGGGACACGATGCCTGCTAGTTTGTAGACTTTAAAAGCTATCAAATACTATGAGCATCACAAAATGAAATAAAATTACAGTATTTTGATGAATAAAGCAAGAACTCTTCAAGAAAATTTTCTTTCTTTTTCCTATATCTTTTATTTTGCTCTTTAGATTTGAGTTTCTCATATAAGAGAAACCATGTAATATTTAGTTTTATGTCTGGTTTATTTCACTTGACCTTATGGTCTCAAGGTCCATCCATTTTCCTACAGGTGACTTAAGTTATCCTTTTTTATTGTGCATACATACCCACATTTCATCTGTTGGTGGGCATGTAAACTGCTTCCAGGTTAGCTATTGTGAATTGTGCTATGTGAACATGGGCGTACATGTATTACTGCAACATGCTATCCTTAATTCTTTCAGGAAAACACCTAGAAGGGGAATAGTGGGTCAAATGGAGTTTCTAGTTCTAGTTTTTGGAGGAATCTCTATACTGATTTCCATAGTGGTTGTACTAGTTTACATTCCTGACAATGTAGATGGGTCCCCCAACACTGAAAACCTTGCGAGCATTTGGTGTTGTATTTGATTTCTCAAGGAAATCATTCTTGCGGGAGTAAGATGGAATCTTATTGTCATTTTAATTTGCATTTTCTAGTGGTCAGCAGTGTTGAACATTTTGTCATGTATTGACCGTTTGTACTTCTGAGACGTGTCCGTCTCACTTGCCCATATTTTGATTGGGTCTTTTGTTTTGGAGGTGCCTGTTTTTTTTTTTTTTTTTAATTCTTTATAATATAGTCTAGTTTAAGGAAGAAAAAAAGAGAAGGTTGCTGGGAATTAGGAAGGAGCTGACAGGAAAATTAAAAGCTACAGAGAACTTTGCAAGGTAGACACTAGCGTGGAGAAGGAAACCGAAGTCTGGACCCTTTTCCAGCTTCCAGCTTAATGAGAGGAGCCTGGCTCTGCACCGCAAGGTGTGGCCTGGGGGCTCCAGGGAGGAATTGCAGCCGGCAACTGGATGTTCAGTGCAGGCCTGATGGTTGTTGTGGACCTGCACGGACAGCAGGGCGCTTCATTCTGAGGACAGGCAATGGCTGGAGGAGGGCACCAGTGCCTGCCCTACTGCTGGAGTGTTGGACCAGGTGCCCATTGTTTGAATCTGGGACCTGGCAGCTGGGAGACAGCTTCACTTCAGGTCCCCAGTGTTTCCCTCCCACAGCGACAGGGTGAGAGACAGCCACAGAAGATGGCTGTATGCAGGGAGCTCTGGAAGGAGACCCTTGAGGGGCTGGAGCTCAGGCGGAAAGGACAGCAGCCTTCTTCCCCACAGTAGGGGCCCAGGTCCAGCTTGAGTTGTTTGAGCGGGTTGGGTTGTCTGTTGACAGACATTGGGATAATGGCATTTTTACTGTTTTAAAAAGTTACTGCCGCTATGAACTTCCTCCTATGTGTCTCTTTTTGCAACATGTCCAGGAATGTACTATAAATATAGGATTGAAATAGGATTGAAATCGCAGGATTGTAAAGTAGTAACATGTTTGACCTTAGTGAGTACTGTAGTACCAAATTATTTTCTAGAGAGATTATACAGTTTATACTCCTAGGGGCAGTGCCTGCTATTGTGTATCCTTACTAATACTTAATATTTTCAGACTTTAAAATATTTGCCAATTTGTGGGTATGCCTCTTTATTCTTTTCTGTGATGGGTGGGTAGGATTTGTGTGTGCTAGGTTGTACTACTGAGCTATAGTCCTAGCCTGTGTCTCTTGTTGGCTGCATCATGAGGATTTAAATTTCGATAATGGAGCCGGGGATTTAGCTCAGCGCCATAAGTGCTTGCCTGGAAAGTGCTAGGTCGTGAGTTTGATCCCTGGTACCACAAAAAAATTTTTTTTTTTATTATGATGACACAATTTTGTTATTTTGTGAGTACCTTCAGTATGTAGTATGAAATTACAATATAGAATATTAAATCCTTTCATGGTAATTTAAAGTGACTATAGAGTTGGAGATAAGTTGTAGAGCATGTGTTTACCATGCATGAGTGCCTAGGTTTGATCTCAGCACCACACATGCGCACACACACCCACACATACATACACACATACACACACCCGACACCCTAAGGTTAGTATAGAGCTGGGCGTGGCAGCACATGCCTGTAATCTCAGTACTCAGGAGGCTGAGGCAGGAGAATCCTTGCAAGTAAGAGACCAATCCGGGCTACATGGTGCTCAAACTGCATAGTGAAAACCTGTCAAAAAAAAAAAAGTGATTATAAGTCAGTGTGTATCTGAATCAAAGCATCCCATTCGATTACGTAAATATGTACAAATGTGTCACTAAAAATAATTATTTAAATACATATTTTAAATGATTATAAATTTCTCCTATAATTGAAAACCTACTATGTATATTTAATTCAAGATACTTGATGCCAGTGATGCCATCATACAGTAAATTGTACTTATATACAGTTCCCTGAGGTTTTTGGAAAATGTAAATATGTAGTTGTAAGCAACCATCAATTATTAGTGACTAAAGATTATGGGGTTTTGTAAGATAGCTGCCTAATTTAGTGATTCATTGAGAGATACAAACTATTTGGACAGCTGTTTCAGAATCACAGAGTTTAAACATACATTCATTCAGTGCAGTCCTCCTGCCTCTGCCTGGGCCTCTGCCTCTGCCTCCCCAGTGCTTTCCTTTCCTGTCATCTACTCTTCCTCTCTTTCTGTCCTTTATTCCCCTCAGGCCTTCTCCAGTTGAGAATTAGTGCAGTAGCATCATTGCTACAGATGTGATCTGGCAGAAAAGTAAGGTAGATTTGTTGTTTGTACTGTGCACAATGAGGCTCTTTTCAGTTAATTTTCAAAATTACCTCCAAAATAGAGGGAAAGACAAAGAGCCAGCAGCTTGGAGAGAAGCTGTTTAGCCAAGGTCACGAGATTCTTAGCATGACTGGGGTTTGAGCCAGTGCACCTGGCCTTG